GAATAAGTTTGTAGTACAATTCACTACTAGTGATGCTAATAAGCTACATGATCTTATTAAGCCACATCTTATTCCAACTATGCAATACAAACTACCACGTAAACTGTAGTATAATTGATGATATAGTCTAATCCATTAGGTGACTAATGGCGTAAGTATAAACAACTTACACTCTTCATCAGGCCCCTTTATATTAGATTCCCATTCATTCTAATAGGCGCGTACGCGCGGAGAGGAAAATGGTCGACTCATCTCATCCTCCAGGTGTAGTAGCTTGGAAGGGTTCAGCTGTTCGCTGATTAAAGAGGTACGCGAGTTGGGTTCGTAATTACTTACGACAATAATTGTATATCACCACTCTTTCTATTTTCTCAATTTTTAAATCATGACAAAATTTCAACGTAAAATTATCATTGGGCGCCCCCGCTCATATTGAAAAGATTATGACTAATTGTCGAATGTCTTTTTCATTTGGGACTAATTTTCAAGAATATGCTGCGCCCTTCTTTTTTTTTAATAAAAAAAAAGAGGCGGAGCGCAAATTTAAAAGAGGGCGAAGCCCGCGGGCGCGGATTTATTCTCTTTTTACACCGCGCCCCTGGCGCCTGTAAAAATTCGGGCGAAGCCCCCCGTTCTAGTAAAAGCCAAAGAAAAATGTTATACTAATTACCGGCTAAAAACTCGAACAATAAAAGAATTAAATGAATTTCATAATCTATTTTATGAATATTCTCCTGAAAAAGGAAAATACCGTAAAATAATTCCTGAGCTAATCCGCTCTGAGATGTGTGAAATCGTTCTAGCTCATTTTATTATGGGGGGCTTCGCCCGGAAACTTTGGGGGCTTCGCCCGGTCGAGTACGTATTTACACAAATAATTACACTCTAGAAGAATGTATTCTTCTGCGAGATTCAATTAAAACTAATTGTAATATTAAATGTGAAGTACTATTTGATCGAATAGGAAAAGAGAAAAAAGATCAGTATATTCTTACTATTGGAAAAACAGAGCTGAAAAAGCTTCAGTCTCTAGTAAAACCTTACATGCATCGTAGTATGCTTTATCGTGTAGGGCTTAATAAAATATATCCCCCATCTAAATTAGCGTCATTTTTTATATAAATAAGAAGGCGCGTAAGCGCGATTTTGAATACAATAAGTATTGAGCCCAAGTAAAACTGGATGAATTGCAGGGAAAACTAAAGATAAGTTTAGTTAATCTGCAGCGAAGCTATTATCAGCACCTTATTACCTGAAAAGTTAATTTGTAGATAATAGAACGTTCAACGACTAATCGGTGAGCTGTGCTAGCAATAATCCGGACACGAGCGTCCAGCAGAAAATAAATATTTATTTTCTGATGAAATAGTCTGAACAATGGTGTGAATCATTGAAACTGGTTTAAAAACTGGTTTATAACAGAAATTGTCAATACGACGTGAAATTTAATTAATTATTGATTTCCCAACTAATGCATTAAGCTAATTCAAATTATTATTTAACAGCAAGCATAGTAATTAGAATACATGTATTTCTATTTATATTTATATTTATATTTATATTTATATTTATATTTATATTTATATTTATATTTATATTTATATTTATATTTATATTTATATTTATATTTATATTTATATCATGACTACAGCACTAATCAAAATTATGAAACGAATTTATCTTAATTCGTCTGATTTCTTTATTCCGCGCCTGCGCGGACGCGCCTACAATTTTATAAGGGGGCTCCGCCCCGCCCTATCGAAGGCGCGTACGCGCGCGCTAACGCGCGGCGCCTACTATTACTAAATATCCTATTCTTCTTACTTCTCTAATTAAGCGAATTAAAGATATCAAAGAACGATATTCACTATCTAATGATATTCATATCTATAATCTAGATACTGATAAAGCTAAAGCTCAATCTGAACTTAGCAATAAAGGTGGTGTTTATGTACTTTGGTGTAAAAGTTCTGGTATGTTTTATGTTGGGGGCGAAGCCCGCTCTACGATTCTTTACGAATAAGGGTCGACTAACAGACTACTTTATGCCAGGACGTGTTAAGGCTAGTCTAGAAGGTAATAGTACTAAAGTAAGTAAAGATCTAGCTCAAGCTATTTCTACTTATGGAATTGAGAATTTCACACTACGGGGCGAAGCCCCCCTCAACTAGGAATTTCTAGTGATCTTAATAAAGCAATTATTCAAAACTGGGAACAGCTATGGATGATGCTTAATCCAACACTAAATCGTAGTCGCCCCTATAAAATCGCGCCTGCGCCTATAAAAAATATTCGGCGCGTACGCGCGGCTATAAAATTAAATTGTAGGCGCGTCCGCGCAGGCGCATTTTATTGGGGCGGTATCATCTAATAGTGGAACTATGATGTCTGAAGAGGATCGAATGAAAATTAGTACTATGATTTATCAATATGAAATTGATAGTGATAATGCTATTATTCCTAATACTGAAAAGATTCTGCGCCTATAAAAATCTTCGGCGCGGACTAAAAGAAACTAGTCGAATTGGAATTACTAGTTTCAATAATACTCATTATTCAATTCAGTATGATACTCTAAAAGGACATTATGATAATAAAATGAGCGGGTTACATCAGAACACAAATTCTATTTCTCTGATGAACCTCTAACTAATAATCTTATTCTAACTTCTCTTAATATAAATGCAGAACTTTTCGGATCTCACGGTATTTGGGTTTATGATGCAAATACTAAAGAACTTCTTAGTTATGAGAGCTCTGTAAAAGAATGTGAAGTGAAATATAATATTAGTCGTACTCATCTAAAACGAGTACGGAAATATAATCAAATTTATCAAGGGAAGCTATTCAGTAACTATAAACTATAATAGGCCCCGTTAAATAATAATAAAACAACAGAAGATAAGACTCGCGTCGTAAGGAAACTGTATGCTGGAACACCTTTATAGTTCTTAGTACTAGGTAATATCCAGTAAGAATCTAAGAAATTAGGCAATCAGCAGGAAACCAATATTTAATCTAGATTAAATTAGTAGGATCCTCAGAGACTATGTGTTTCCATCTTAAGAAGGATATTAAGATAAGATATAGTCCGAACTAATTAGAAATAATTAGAAGTAATATATAAATTATATTACAATAACATAAAATAGGCCATACCATAAATAAACTAATTAGTATATTTATGTATTATATATTATATTAGGAGTCAGTATGGTCCCTATCTTCTGAAGGAAAAAGTAATCGATTAAGGACCTCCGGTTAGTACGAAAGGACCGCTGGGGATGATTCCATGGTGTACCTATTGTTACGTCTTTTTAGATATAGCACCGTAGGGTAGCCACAATCATGAGAGATAAGCGCTGAAAGCATCTTAAGCACGAAGCACACCTTATTAGATTACAAGAAATAAGAAGAAGACTACTTCTTGTTATTTAGATATAATTTTTCTTATAGCTTAGCTTATAAACTAAACTATAATTATGTTAAGTTATATTGTGAATAGCCATAGGGTGCAAATGTAAGTATAGTAATATATTCAGTTTAGCACTACTAATTTATTGATTTACTTAATCGTAAAACATTGTCTACTATTTTATAGTATATTATATATTATATATTAATTAGTAACGTCCACCTTCGTTAGGCGCCGCGCGTTAGCGCAAAATCTACGGCTAATAAAAATCGAATATTTTTATAAGCGCGTACGCGCCTTTTACAATTTTATAGCCCTTCTTTTTTTTTAATAAAAAAAAAGAGGCGGAGCGCGAATATTTTTTCTTTTATAGGCGCGCGCGTCCGCGCGATTTTATAACCGTACGCGCTTATAAAAAAGAGGCGCGCGTAGCGCCTTCTGCGCGGCTACGCTTATAAAATTAGGGACTAGTAAATTTAAAGGCGCTTACGCCGCGCGGAGCGCAAAATCGCGCCTAATAAAATTTACAATTTTATAAGCGTAGCCCTGCGCGCGCTAACGGAATAAAAATCTACGATTTTTCGCTAACGGTTATAAAATCGCGCCTGCGCCTATAAAAAATCTTCGATAGGGCTACGCCCGGCGCATTTTATTAGCGCCTATAAAAATCGAAGATTTTTATGGCGTTAGCGCGCGCGTACGCGCATTCTATTTTTTATTGGCGCCGTAGATTTTGCGCTAACGCCATAAAAATATTTTTATAGGCGCATTTTTATTCCAAGTATTTTTTAGATATAGGCTTCGCCAATAAAATCTTCGATTTCCTGCTAATTTTTCCTGCTCGCGCCAGGCGCATTCTTAAAAACAAAAAGAAGCGCGTACGCGCGGCGCAAAATCTTCGCTTCGATTTTACCGGCCGCGCAAAATTAAAATTTACTAGTAAATTTTATAACGCCCTATAAAATTTCAAAGAAATTTGCGGGCGCGCAAAATCTTCGGCGCGGACGCGCATTCCGCTACGCGCAAAAATCTTCATATTCGATTTTGCCTATCGGCGGCGGAGCGAAAAATATCCGGCGCGGCTACACTTATAGGGCGCGCGTAGCGCCCCCCGTCGTAAATTAACTTAACTTAACTTAACTTAACTTAACTTAACTTAACTTAACTTAACTTTTATTAGGCGCGACTGTTTATTAAATTACTAACTTTTGTAAATATACTTAATTATAATACCTTTTTATTTGTGCTTATAAAATTAAATGGAATTTCTAGGACGCGCTATGCGCAAAATCTTTGCGCTCCGTTATAAAAATCGAAGGCTGCGCGGACGCGCCTTCGATTTTTCTAAGCGCGTTAGCGCAAAAATAGAATATTTTTTATAGGCGCTTATAAATAAAAAATCTGCGGCGCTTATAAAGAAAAGAAAAAATATTCTATTTTGCCTATCGGCGGCGCACCCCAATAAAAATATTCGATTTTTATAAGCGCAGCGCGGTTTTAAAAATGACTTTAAAGAATGCGCTAGTTATAATTATATATAGATTATTAGTAAATATATATACAGTTATACTAAAGTAAGTTATAACAGATTGATGGCCTAATGGTTCAGGGCGATCACTTTGGGAGTGATAGTCGAAAGTTCAAGTCTTTCCAGTCTGATATTTTTTTTAAGATAGTTTTTTACTCATTATTTATAATAGATACACTATAATGTTACTTAGTGGGGATATATATTATCCCGCGCTTAAGAAAAAGAAAGAAAATCGAAGATTTCGTTCTTTTGATGTTTTTTTATTATAATAAAAAAAACAGAAAAAAGAAGGGCGCTTTATTATATAACAGTGTTTTTTGCGGTATAATATATAATCTAAATAGAAAAATATGATAGAAAGTTCGAATCTTTCCTGTTATAATTGAAATCACTTTTTAATTAAAGTATTCAACATCGCGCGTAAGCGCCTATTTTGTTTTTTTTCTATAGAAAAAATGCAGCTAGTGTTTACCGTAGTAAATTAATTTATTATTGGCATCCCCGAAGGGACTGGCGTAAATAAATAGAATTCAACTTATTGAAAAAAACTTGGATTATGCTAACTAACAATGGGCCTATAAAATCAGAGATTTTATTGGCCCGTACAACTAGATAAAAATAGTACTAAAAAGGTTATCTAAAGAATTTATTAAGGATCTGTATCAACGTGATTGTATTGCTAAAGAAATCTTTTAAAATAATACAAATAAGCCTGTTACAGTAGAAAACCTTAAACAAGTACTTTCACTGGAAGGACGACTTTCGTCAGATCAAATGCTTGAAAATCTACTAGTTCTAGTTCCTGCTCGCGCCTTATAAAATCGCGCCTGCGCCTGCGCCTGCGCGGACGCGCCTACAATTTAATTTTATAGCCGCGCGTACGCGCCGAATATTTTTGCGCTAACGCGCGGCGCCTACAATTTTATAGCCGCGCGTACGCGCCGAAGATTTTTTCCTTTATAGGCGCGATTTTATAACCGCGGTGAAGAGATTGATAAAAATAAAAAGACTCTCTTTTTACCGCCTTCGGCTCCACATAGTAAGTATGTAACTGAGTTCTTTGCTGTAGCAGGTTCTACTTCAAAAAAAGAAGGAGCTATTGGTTGTTATGGTCTAGGTACTATTCAGGATCCTGCTGCTTATATTGGTCAATCAGTACATATTGGAAATCGAGTTGCTCAACATGTACTTATTTTTCCCTGCTCGCGCCCTTCTTTTTTTTTTTTGTAAATAAAAAAAAGAATGCCACAACTAGAAAATTCAGTTTACACTCTAATTCAAATCTGTTCTAGCCATAATGCACTAGCTAGTATTCTTGGTCATTATTATAGCCCCGCGCGTACGCGCGGGGAGGGCTTCGCCCGGGCGGGTTGCTCAAGTTATCAACCGTGGTGGCATGTATCGTAATACTGTTTTTTTCCTTTTTTTTTTCTCAGAAGGGCTTCGCCCCCTATTGAAAATAGTAAAGAGAATATGCCGCGCGTACGCGCGCGCTAGAAAATGACTTTAAAGAATGCGCCCTTCTTTTTTCTGTTTTTTTTATTATAATAAAAAAAACATCTAAAAAAAAAGAACGAAATCGAAGGCGCTACGGAATAAAAATGCGCGGCTAATAAAAATATTTTTATAAGCGCGTTAGCGCGCGCCAATAAAAAATAGAAGAGAGCGCGGCGCCGAATATTTTTTATAGGCGCTAATAAAATGCGCCTGCGCCTGCGCGGACGCGCCTACAATTTAATTTTATAAGCGTAGCCCTATAGAATATTTTTTATAGGCGCCTACAATTTAATAGCCGCGCGGTTATAAAAATCTTCGATTTTTATTAGCCGCGCCAATGCGCGTCCGCGCCGAAGATTTTGCGCTCCGCCATAAAAATCTTCGATTTTTATAGGCGCATTTTTTATAGGCGCGATTTTATAACCGGCTCCGCCCACTAGTAAATTTTATAACTACGGCGGCGCGAAAAAACTTTCTAAGAATTCTACAAATCGTGCTCCTAGTAAACGAGTTGTACTTATTGATGCTACTACAAACGTTCGAAGTGAAATCTATCCTAGTAAATATTATGTACTTAAACATGTTCCGGTTACCCGCGCGTTTTTTTGTTTTTTAAAAAAGAGGCGCGCGTAGCGCCTTTGATTTTGCGCCGCGCGTTAGCGCAAAAATATTCTGCGCGGACGCGCGCGGGTAACAGCTAAAGCAAAATCAGAACGAATTAAACATATGAGTGATAAACCTTATCAGGAATATTATTTGGATTTTATGCGCTGCGCGCGGTAATCATGACTTAATTTATAATATTAACTGTTATCCCCCTTTCTGTTACAAGAGTTAACGTCCTATTATAGTCGGGCTATAAAAATATTCGGCTAATAAAAAGATTTTTATAAGCGCGTACGCGCCTTTTACAATTTTATAGCCCTATAGAATGCGCGTACGCGCGCGCTAACGCCATAAAAATCTTCGATTTTTATAGGCGCTAATAAAATGCGCCTGCGCGGACGCGCCTACAATTTAATTTTATAGCCGCGCGTACGCGCCGAATATTTTTTATAGGCGCAGGCGCGATTTTATAACCGTACGCGCGGCCCGGTAATACTAAATTCTAGATAGTACTGAGTTCAAGTCTCAGCATTTTGATTATTATCAATATAATAACTACTTTATTATAGGTAAATAGAATATACAAAGTATTCTTCTCTATTATGAATTGTGTAAAATTTATAAGACAAGTACTTTTTACTACGCGCCCTTCTTTTTTCTGTTTTTTTTATTATAATAAAAAAACATCAAAAGAACGAAATCGAAGATTTTCTTTCTTTTTCTTAAGCGCTTCTGAAATATTTATACTTAAGATTTTTACTACGCGCGCTAATAAAATCTTTGATTTTATAACCGTAGCGCGGGCGCATAAGGAAAAATTAGCAGGCGCTAATAAAATGCGCCTGCGCCTGCGCCAATAAAAAATAGAATATTTTTTCCTTTATAGGCGCCTACAATTTAATTTTATAGCCCTATAGAATATTTTTTATAGGCGCCTACAATTTTATAGCCGCGCGGTTATAAAAATCTTCGATTTTTATTAGCCGAATATTTTTTATAGGCGCGATTTTATAACCGTAGCCCTATAGAATGCGCGTACGCGCGCGCTAACGCCATAAAAACCTTCGATTTTTATAGGCGCTAAGAAAATAGAATATTTCTATAAGTTATACAAATAATAGTTGTTGCTAATATAATCGAAGATTATATAAAGCGCTAGAATATGTAGGTACTATAACATAGTGGTAATGTGGCGTACTGTTAATACGTTTAACGAAAGTTCGATTCTTTCTAGTGCCTTATTTTCATAGTTTAACAGTATAGTCTCATACTATAAATGCGCCGCGCGGAGCGCAAAATCTTCGGCGCTTATAAGCGCGGACGCGCATTGGCGCGGCTACGCTTATAAAATTGTAAAAGGCGCTTATCGGAATAAAAATATTTTTATTGGCGCAGGCGCGGGATTCTTTTTATGCTAATAAAATCGAAGATTGCGCGACAAAAAGAAGAAAACAAAAAATAAAAATACAAAATACTTCTTCCTTTCTGGTAATTGTACCTATTTTTAATAGTATATATTAACTTACTACTAAAAATGTAGGGCTTATAAAGTGATATTATTTAAATAATGAATTAAATCATTTTATACATAGCATTTCTTTACCCACGCCTTTGGCGACTTTTATATAACTCAAATGAACATTACTATGCCAACAATTCCTAGTGTTTACCTAAAAAGTAGTGGACGTCTACAACAGCCACAAATGCAAATGAACAATTATGGTATCGCGCCAGCGCATTCATTTAGTAAACAATCTTCAGGACTAGGTTCAACTCTATCTGGAAATACTTCACTAAATAATAGTGCTATTTGTATTATTAATGCTTATTTTAGTACACTAAATAATAATACTACTACAGCAAATAAAATGAATACTGTTAGTGGTAACGTATCTAATTTTCTTTTTATTATTAGTAAACCAAACTTTAGTCATACTAATAGTAAAGTTACTATTCAATTCTTCTATTATACTGCTTCTAATACAGCATTCGGTGAGAAAAATTCATCAACAAATGAACTAGAATCATTCCGAAAAAACTTCTCTGAACTAAATACTACACTTGCTCAGCTATATCAAAAAAAAGTGAATGTAATTGCTACTCGACTATATTATCCATATCTAAATAGTCATATCCTAAGTCAATACCTTGCCTACAATGCACCAAGTAACACTTTTATGGATTTCCAAGAAGCTATTCTAACTAATCCTAGTCTACATAAAACGAATCTACTAGCACATATTAGTGGTATTAAAGTAAAAGTATCTGGACGACTAGTTACTGAAACCGCAATTCCACGAATTACTGTAAAATCTTCTCTTATTGGTTCTTTCCAATGTAATGCTAACAATAGTACACTGGCCCGGACCTCTATTGATTACAGTAAATTTACAACTAAAAATGAACTAGGTGCTTTTACAGTAAAAGTTTGGATCTGTCAACGATCTTAAATATAACAAATACTTTTCTTTTTTCATTTCCCCCCCCGCGCGTTAGCGCAAAATCTTCGGCGCGTACGGAATAAAAATCGAAGGCGCTTATAAAGAAAAGAAAAAATATTCTATTTTTGCCTACGGCGGCGCAGCCCTATAAAATTTAAAAGAAATTTTATTGGGCGGGGTCCGTACGCGCAATAGAATATTTTTATAGGCTGGCGCGACAAAAAGAACGAAATCGGCGCTCCGTTATAAAAATATTCGAAGGCTATAAAAATATTAGATTAGATTTTTATTAGCTACGGACCCGCAAAAAATCGGGTTATAAAAATATTCGAAGGCGCTAGCGCTTATAAAAATATTAGATGGCGCGTACGCGCAGCTACGGTTATAAAATCAAAGGCGCGTACGCGCAGGGCGCCCGCGCTATGCGCAAAGATTTTTATAGGCGCATTTATGATTTAATAACGCGCGTACGCGGAATAAAAATCGAAGGCGCAAAATATTCGGCGCGTACGCGCGGCTATAAAATTAAATTGTAGGCGCTTATAAAGAAAAGAAAAAATATTCTATAGGACTACGCTTATAAAAGTTAATTTACTAGGAAAAGGCGCTTACGCGCAGGCGCAGGCGCAGGCGTTAGCGCATAAATCTTTATTATCAGTTACCGCGCGGCTATCCTTATTTTATATAGGTATATGAATTATAGTATAGTGTTCTAATGATTTATTAGAATATTAGTAATTATAAAGCTAGTGTAGTTTAATGGTAAAACTTGGGACTTCCACTCTCACATTTTCGGTTCGATTCCGAATACTAGTATAATATGTATAAATAAAATTTTATTATACCCTGTACTGCTGAACATTTTCTTTTTAATGCGCCGCCCTATCAAAGATTTTTATAGGCGCTGCGCCGCCGTAGTTATAAAATTTACTGCGCTACGCCTCTTTTTTTTTATTAAAAAAAAAGAAGGGCGGTTATAAAATCGCGCCTATAAAGGAAAAAATATTCTATAGGGCTATAAAATTGTAGGCGCCGCGCGTTAGCGCAAAAATATTCTATAGGGCGGGGCGGAGCCCCCTTATAAAATTGTAGGCGCCTATAAAGGAAAAAATATTCTATTTTTTATTGGCGCAGGCGCATTTTATTAGCGCCTATAAAAATCGAAGATTTTTATGGCGTTAGCGCGCGCGTACGCGCATTCTATTTTTTATTGGCGCAGCGCGGACGCGCCTTCGATAGGGGCGCCCCCCTCCGTAGCGCCGGCGCCAATAAAAATCAAAGATTTTTATAGGCGCGGGGCTACGCTTATAAAATTGTAGGCGCTTATAAAGAAAAGAAAAAAATATTCTATAGGGCTACGCTTATAAAATTGTAAATTTTATTAGGCGCGATTTTATAACCGCGCGGGGCGCCCTATCGAAGATAGGGGCTACGCTTATAAAATTGTAAAAGGCGCTAGCGCTTATAAAAATATTTTTATTAGCGCGTAGTAGTTGTAATGCTTTCAATTGGTCTAATTTCACTACTAGTAGCCATTCCTGTTTTCTCCTACCGAATTACCCCAAGTCTATTTAATCGAATTACATCTGTAGTTCTAATCTATTCTGCTCTACTGGCTTTTAATGGTCTACATATTGAGTCACTAGCTTCCGGAGTAGGTATCTACAGTGGACTATTTCATGTTACTACAGTATCACTAGCTATTGAAGGATTTCTACTTTTCATTGGTGCTCTAATTCTACTAGGTTGGGGACCAGTAACAGAGAAATCAATAGTACGACGTGGTACAACAGTAGTTCCAACAATTAGTGAATATTCACTAATGATTCTATTTACATCTATGGGTGCTACACTACTACTAAGTAGTTCAGATCTAGTAAGTATGTATCTAAGTATTGAACTACAAAGTTTTGCTGTATATATTCTAGCAACACTTTACCGAGATTCAGAATCTGCCACAAGTGCTGGTCTTAAATACTTCCTACTAGGTGGACTCTCATCAGCTCTAATCCTACTAGGTACTGCTCTAATTTATAGTTATACAGGTCTAACACAATTTGAAAGTATTTATACTCTAGTACAAGGGGCTTCGCCCGGTGCTGATTCTATTGCTTATAGTGCTGTTTATAGTGGTGGTCTTACATATGGACTACTTCTAATTGGTATTGGTTTTCTATTTAAAGTAGCAGCAGCTCCACTACATAATTGGGCACCAGATGTATATGATGGTGTACCAACAATTGTGACATCTTGGCTAACAACAATGCCAAAAATTTCTATCTTTGTATTCCTTCTAGAACTACAATCTGGACTAGAAGGTAGCTTTGAATCACTAAGTCTTCTTCTAAATGAGGATACAGCTATTAATATCTGGAAAAATCTTCTACTTATTGCTAGTCTTCTTAGTCTTATTATTGGTACTGTTGTTGGACTAAGCCAATACCGAATTAAACGACTTCTAGCTTATAGTACTATTAGTCATGTTGGATTCCTACTACTAGCTCTAGCTATCAATACTGAAGAATCAATTGAATCTTTCCTATTCTACCTAATTCAATACTCACTAACAAATGTTAATACATTCCTAATTCTTCTTGCATTTGGATATATTATGAGTACAAGTAAATCATATCAACTATCAAGTCGAACTACTAATAAACAATCAATTAATAAGATAGATATTCAATTTATTGATCAACTTAAAGGTCAATTTAAAGAAAATCCACTACTAGGACTTAGTCTAGCTCTTTGTCTATTCTCTATGGCTGGTATTCCACCTCTAATTGGATTCTTTGCAAAACAAATGGTTCTATATTCAAGTACTCATGGTGGATACTACTTCCTATCTATTATTGCAATTCTAGTAAGTGTTATTAGTGCTTCTTACTACCTAAAAATTATTCGAGTTATCTACTTTGATACTCAAAATATTAATACTGATATAGTATATACTGATAATACTATAAATTCACGGGCGCCGATAGGGGCGCGTAGCGCCTTCGATTTTTGCTATAAAAAAGATTCTATTTTTTATTGGCGCGGGCCCACTATTACAACACCGGGTGTATCCCTTACTAATGTACATAGTCTACTAATTTCTATTCTAACTATGATTATTGTACTATTTGTACTTCAACCGTCAATCCTACTAAATAGCTCTCATATTCTAGCTCTATCACTATTCTACTACTAATGAATACAATTACACTATTTTTTATTTTTATTCCTATTCTAGCTATTATTCTTCTATTTGCTAATCTTCTACTAGCAGTACACCGACCTGATTCAGAAAAAGTAACACCATATGAATGCGGGTTCTCGCCTGTATATGGTCAGACACGTAATCCTTTTTCAATTCAGTTTTATCTAGTTGGTATTCTATTCCTTGTATTTGATCTTGAACTAGTACTAGTTTATCCTTTCTCTGTAAGCCTATACGAGACTGGTAGTTATGGTTTCTGGGTATTTGTAATTTTCTTTCTAGTACTAACTATTGGTTTTGTTTACGAGTTTGGTAGTGGAGCTCTATACTTCACAGATAAACGATCTTCTATTCAAAATGAAGGTCTTGTTAAACCTACTAATTCCCCCGCGCGTTAGCGCGCGCGTACGCGCCTTCGATAGGGCGCCCTAATAAAATGCGCCTATAAAAATATTTTTATGGCGGAGCGCAAAATCTCCGGCTAATAAAAATCGAAGATTTTTATAAACGCGCGCCCCCGCGCAAAATCTACGCCGCGCAAAAATCGAAGATTTTTTATTTTATAGGCGCGATTTTATAACCGTAGCGCATTTTTTTAATAAAAAAATGCGCTACGCGCCTCTTATAAAAATATTCGGCTTATAAAAATATACGGCTAATAAAAATCGAAGATTTTTATAACCGCGCAGCTACGGTTATAAAATCAAAGATTTTATTAGCGCGTAAGCGCCTTTTACTAGTAAATTAGGGCGCGCCGCCGTAGGCAAAAATATTCTATAGGGCTACGCTTAGAAAATTGAAAAAGGCGCCGCGCGTTAGCGCAAAAATATTCGGCGCGTACGCGCGGCTATAAAATTAAATTGTAGGCGCCGCGCGTTAGCGCAAAAATATTCTATAGGGCTACGCTTATAAAATTGTAAATTTTATTAGGCGCAGGCGCCGAAGATTTTTATAGGCGCAAAATTTTATAACCGCAAAATCTTCGATAGGGCGGGCTTCGCGGGTTATAAAATCGCGCGGACGCGCATTTTATTAGCGCCTATAAAAAATATTATATTTTTTATTGGCGCGCCCCCGCGCGTAGCGCAGGGCTTCGCCCCCTAGTAAATTAGGGCTACGGAATGCGCCTATAAAGGAAAAAATATTCTATTCTATTTTTGCGCTAACGCGCTTATAAAAATATTTTTATTAGCCGCGCATTTTTATAACCCAATTTTATAACCGGCCGCGCGTTAGCGCTATAAAAATATTATATTCGATAGGGCGGGCTTCGCCCCCCCCGTACGCGCCTTCGATAGGGCGGGCTTCGCCCCCCCCGTACGCGCGCCCGCCTAATTAAAAACGAAGTTATTCTACGCGCGTAGCACTTCAAAAGATAGTAAAAATGAGACTAACAATAACGAAGTTGATAAGAAAAAAGAAACTTATCTAGCGGGCGTTCGCCCCCGCGCTAAGAAAATTTACTAGTGGGCGGGCGCAGCCCCACGCGCCTGCAATTTTATAAGCGTAGCCCGATTTTTATAAGCGCCTTTTTGTGCGCCCTCCGGAAAGCGCTACGCGCAGAAAAAGAAAGAAAGAAAAAGGCGCTTACGCGCGGACAATCTACGGAGAACGTGCATATTAAAATTAAAGCACAACGGCATATTCAAAGTGGTGCCGCGCGTACGCGCTTATAAAGAAAAAATATACGGCTGGGCGTAGCTAATAAAAATATACGCTTCGATTTTTATAAGCGCCTATAAAAAATGCGCTACGCGCCTTCTATTTTTGCGCTAACGCGCTTAGAAAAATCGAAGGCGCGTCCGCGCAGCCTTCGATTTTTATAACCCGATTTTTATAACCCTTCGCCTAAGAAAATTTACTGCGCCTAATAAAATTTACAATTTTATAAGCGTAGCCCTATCAAAGATTTTTATAGGCGCGGGCTAAGAAAATTTACTAGTAAATTTTATAACCCGCGCAAAATTTTGCGGGCGCCCAATCGAAGGCGCTACGCGCAGGCGCGACCACACAACTATTAATGAGGTACAGAAAGCTCCTCATACTATTCCGCCCTTCTTTTTTTTTAATAAAAAAAAGAGGCGGAGCGCAAATTTCTAGCGCATTCTTTTTGACTCCCGCGTGAAAAAATTAGCTTCCATTTTCTAACGTGGCGCTACTTAATTTTAGTTCTACCGCGGTTATAAAATCGCGCCTATAAAGGAAAAAATATTCGGCTAATAAAAATAAAAATATTTTTATAACCGCGCGGCTATAAAATTGTAAATTTTATTAGGCGCATTTTATTAGCGCCTATAAAAGAAAAAATATTCTCTTTTTAATTGGCGCCTTCTATTTTTATAGGCGCTAGCGCCTTTTACTGAGCCCCATTTTCTAAGCGTAGCTGCGCGGACGCGCCATCGAAGATTTTTATAACGTACGCGCCGATTTTTATAGGCGCATTTATACTCTTTATTATTAGTATAGTATAGGTGTACTTATACTTTTATTATATAATAATATGAATTTTACCGCGCTTTAAAATTATAAAAAAAGCTCCGGAAAAATAAGAAAAAGGCGCGTACGCGCAGGCGCAGGAAAGCGCGAGATAAGAAAAAATATCCCCGCGAATATA